GAAGGAATTCGTCAAATCTCTGTAAGGGATAAAGTTATCTGTAAACCGGAGAAATCGGGATGTCATTTACAGGACTCGGGAATCTATGCATAGTAAAAGAGATCATGATATGATCTGCCTTTAGAGTCAGTAAATTGAAGATTCCCTATTTCGAATTAAAGCTTACCCTAAACCGCAAGGGTTGATACGTATCCTCACCCTAGGTTTAATGAGAGGGTAACCGAGATGAAAGGAAATGCATACAGTAACCAAATATATGTAATAGGATGATCATGTCATTAACCTAACTAGCTCTGGGGCAACAAAGCATTGCTAGTGCTCTGTGTTGTCATTAAATGGGTTGTGGGCTTGTTAGGCCCAAGCCCATTTATGTCAGTGGCTATGTTGGGCCTAATGGGTCACACACTAACACCTTATTGTCTTGATGATATAGCATTAAAGGTATTGGGCCTAATAAAGGTTGTTAGCCCAAGAAGAAGTTTGGAAGCCCGCCTAAGAGGGAAAGGGCGCATGGTAATTGTAATGGGCTTGGATGGTCCAAGACATTATTAATTAATTTAATTAGTTAAATTAATTATCAAATATTTAAATTTAGAATTTAAATTTAGAATTTAAATTTAGAATTTAAATTTAGAATTTAAATTTAGAATTTGAATTTAGAATTTAAATGTTTGAACGTTTGAATTTAAATGTTTGAATTCGAATTTGAATTGGCTATGAAAAGTTGTTTCATAACAAAAGGATAAGATAAGATCTTGTTGGAACAAATCTCTAGTATCAAGAGGAGGTATTTGAGCATCATCCAAGGTTGTTTGGGGCGCTGATTTGGGTTGTTATGAGTGTCATTTAGTCAACCAAATAAGCTCCAAATCAGATTTGGTTGGTTGAGAGAATAAGTGAGTAAGTTAGTTCAAATATGAATGCAACTACTCAATATATTTGGATTGCATTGTGGACCAAAGGGGAGCACCATATGGTTGGTCATTAGGTCAGAATTTTGACAAGGTTTAGACCTAGTCTCATGAGGATTAAAAGATACGTTGCTGGGAAAATTTGAATTGCACCAACTCCACCTTCTTCTCCCTTGGTGTGCGCCACTTTGATCAGATTTTTAAAGTGAAAAATGTAACACCCCGTATATATCCGGTAATGTTATTATATCATTGTATTAAGCTGCGCTTAAATAAAAATGTGGAATATCTTTTTCTTTTCAATTATGATGTCATTATCATTACCAACTTGCTTATTAATCAATTAATAAAACATCGCCTGTATGTAAATTGCAAAACACAGCTAACTGAAATACCTCATTACATTAAAAACGTAAGTATGTCTCTAGTCACGAAACTACAACACGTAGGCCAGACAACTATCAGATTATACTACTCAACATAACAGTGCTAATAGCCAAGTGGCATGGACAAACCCCATGCTCAACTAAAAAGGAAACAAAGCCCAACATCAGTCTCAACATCAGCAGCATACTAAAAGCAAGCTAAAAACATAAGCATCAGCAGATATATCCAGCATCAAACATATCAGCAAAATAAACAGCAAACTCATCAACTAAGCTTCGGCCTCCTGCGGCTAGAGGCATCAGTCCCCATACTACCTGAACCTGAAATAAGCGTCCCCAAACATGGGGTGAGATCTCTAAACAAGAAATCTCAGTAAGACTAGGGGTCCTCAAGGATCTTCCACCCCAAGCTCACTTACATGTGCAATATAAGTTTTAAAATAGTTTAACAATATCATTTCCAAAATAGTGCAATGCAGCAGAATATCATGTCATGTGTGTCAATACTATAATCTACTGGCCAGAGAAAGTAGGAATACGTCTATTACCCACACATAACAGTACAAGGAACATCGTTTGCACATCACTGCAGTGTCACCATCTTGTATGTACCACATACTCAGGCTTACCGTATAGATGGAACACCACATGCATATCATAAAGCCATTGTACATATCAGCTCAAAAGCATTTCATTATATCAAAACATGTAACACAGCATGCATATAACCATTCCCCCATGGGGTATGGTGGAACTACACAATGGCTAAACTGAGGACATGAAAGCTTACCTTTCAAGCTAAATGATACAGAAGAGAAACTGTATTGAGTAACAAGAACAAGAACAATCTGTTTATTCCGCAATTCCAAGATAAACTGTTTCCATACAACTAACTTCCCTTTATACATGTTTCCCAAGCCACGTAGGCATTACCAACTAATCTTCCCCAACTGTTAACAACCGTAACTTTACAATGTTATTGGGCTTTTCCTTTAACTATTCTATAACAGCCAGTGGGCTTATAAGACAAAGTCTTTGACCCATGTTGGACCACCCTTGAGTCTGGCTCCCCTTCTTGCTACCGTATCAACTGCCCTCCATTCGACGGTGACCTTGTCCTCAAGGTGCAATTGTGGATACGTCTTGCGCAATTCGGCAGCTGCTTCCCATGATGCATCCTCCGGAACCGTAGCTGACCACTGGATTAAATGTTGCTGCTGTGGAACACCATTGACCAGCATTTCCCGCGAGTCTAAAATGGCGAGAGGTTGTTGAACCGGTTTGTTCTGCACACTTACTGATGGCAAAGGTTCACAACTAACAGCATTAGGGCCATAAAATTGTTTCAACACTGAAACATGAAACACTGGATGAATCATACTTCCTGCGGGTAGAGTTAATCAATCAGCTACAGGACTAATGACTTGCTCGACAACATAAGGACCAAAGTATCATTTGGCTAACTTATGATTGGATCTTCTCTCAACAGACAATTGGCGATAAGGTTGTAACTTGATTAAGACCTTGTCACCAACTTTAAAGAGACGTTCCTGCCTATGTTTGTCAGCATGATGCTTCATACGGGCCTGAGCTCTTTGTAACTGAAGCTTCAAATAATCCCACACCTCTTGCCTCTGTTGGAGCATCGCATCTACTGCCTCTAACTGGACATCACCCTTCTCATATTGTGGAATGAGGAGTGGAATCTTCCCAAACACTGCTTGATAAGGTGACATATTAAGAGCAGAATGCACTGATGTGTTATAATGCAATTCTGCCCAACACAACATCTGGAACCACTGAGAATGCAGTTCAGAGCAAAATGCTCGCATATAATGCTCCAAATATCGATTTGTAACTTCCGATTGGCCATCAGTTTGTGGGTGGTAAGCTGAAGTCGCAAGGAGTTTAGTACTACTCAACTGAAATAAATGGCGCCAAAACTTACTCATAAACACTGGATCGCGGTCAGACAATAAAGTTCTAGGAAACCCATGATGTTTGACCACTAAGTCACAGAATAGCTGGGCCACTGTTGCTGCTGTGTAGGATGAAGGAAGAGGTCCAAAATGAGCATATTTGGATAGTCTATCCACTACAACCAAGATTGTAGTAAAACCATGAGATCGAGGAAGAGCTGTAATAAAGTCCAGTGTGAGATCATCAAAGATAGCATTTGGAATAGGCAAAGGTTGCAACAATCCCCATGGCACTTGAGTTGATGTCTTAATTTGCTGACACACAGTACAGTTTCGAATGAACTGCTTCACATCACTGCGCATATTCTTCCAAAAGAAGGATGTGGACAAACGTAAATAGGTCCGTTGAACTCCAGCATGACCTCCTATGGGTGTGCAATGAGCTTCCTGTAATAATATTGCCTTAAGAGGAGAACGGGATCCCAACATACATCTATTGTTAATAAAAAGCATACCATGTCTTTTGGAAATTGCAGGACCAGTATATGTCCATTCTTCTAAAGCTTTATGAAGGGCCAACAATTCAGTATCCTGTTTATGCTCTTCCTTAATTTGTTCCCAAATTTCCAATGTTGGTTCTGACCTCAAAGTATGTATATTTGCCTTATCGTCATCAGGAAATTGTCGGGATAAAGCATCTGCAACTATATTCGAAACCCCTGATTTATACTCAATTGTAAAATTGTAGCCCATTAATTTGTAAAGATACTTTTGCTGATCTGCAGTATGGACATTTTGGTGGAGCAATTCCCTTAAACTTTGATGATCTGTTTTGATCACAAAATGAGATCCAAGGAGGTAATGTCTCTATTTCTTAATGGCTTCAGTCAAGGCATACAATTCTCGAACATATGCTGATGAGGCAGCCATGCGTGGACCAAATTTCTTGCTAAAAAAAGAGATTGGCTTCCCACCTTGCAATAAAACTGCACCTGCAGCAATATTTGAAGCATCTGATTCCACTATAAAAGGTGCTGTAAAGTCAGGCAACTGTAATATGGGAGTAGATGACATTGCTGTCTTCAATTGTGTAAAAGCCAAATCAGCTTCTATGGTCCATGTAATTTTGTCCTGCTTAAGTAATTCAGTTAAAGGATGAGCTAAAGAAGCATAGCTCTTAACAAACCTTCTATAGTATCCTGTTAAACCAAGGAAAGCCCTCAATTGCTTGATTGACTTGGGAATTGGCCAATCTATCATAGCTGCAATTTTTTTGACATCCACATTAACACCAGTGGCAGAAACCACATGTCCCAAATAGGCTATCTCACCCACTCCAAACTCACATTTACTGAGTTTAATGAAAAACGAATTTTGTAGCAAACAAGTCAATGCTATCTGCAAATGATCAGCATGCTTCTCCAAGGATACACTATAAATCAACACATCATCAAAAAATACTACAATGAATTTCCTTAAAAATGGACGAAAAATACCATTCATGGCAGCTTGAAAAGTGGCAGGAGCATTAGTGAGACCAAAAGGCATCACCTTAAACTCATAGTGGCCCTCATGAGTTCTAAAAGCTGTCTTATGTATGTCTTCGGGCTTCATACGTATTTGATGACAACCGAAACGCAAGTCAAGCTTGGAAAATACCTTAGCTGCAAAAAGCTCATCCAACAACTCATCTATGGTTGGAATAGGAAAAGCATCTTTGATGGTCATAGCATTTAAAGCCCTATAATCTACACACATTCGCCAAGATTGATCCTGCTTTCGAACTAATAACACCGGAGAAGAAAAGGCACCCAGCCATTGCTCAATAACTCAGCAACTTGTCTCTCAATTTCGGCCTTATGATGATAAGGGTACCGATAAGGCTTGACCTTAACAGATTGAGAATTATCTAATAGCTGAATGGCATGAGTACTGTCCCTAAAAGGGGGTAACACCTTAGGAGTAGCAAACACTTGCTGACAGTCAACCAAAATAGACCACAAGGATGAAGGATCTTATCTTGTAAAGCTAACAATTCAGGAAGTACCTCTTCTTGGATACCTTGGTCTTGGCTTAGGAGAAAATGGCAGTTGGTGTCAGCAATAACATCAGACTCGGAATTCTGTAATTGGGTACCACCTTGTAATGTAATGAGTTTCCCTTGCCAAAGAAATTCCATCAGCAACTCCTTATAATGGTGAGTAACTCTGCCCAAAGTCACCAACCATTGCATCCCCAACACTATGCTGAGATCACAGAGGTCCACCACAAATAAATCAGTTTCGAAACAATGCCCTTGAATACACAATTTCACCTTAGGACATTTTTTGTCACACTTTAAAAACTCTCCATTACCCATAAAAACCCTCATCTTTGGAGATTTGATTATTGGTAAGTGAAGTTGAGTAGCTAAATCTCTTCTGATAAAGCTATGTGAACTACCAGAATCAATCAACACCTGAACCTCGCGACTATTAACCAAGGCAATCAGTACTAGTGATCTAGCATCAGCAGGACCCGATAAAGAATGCAATGCAGCATCTATTTTAGGACCTGAATTATCAGTTTGACACCACAAAATCTCCTCCTCAGATTCCCCTTCTTGATCATCCTCATCTACAATCATGAATAACATTTTGGACTTGCAACGATGTTTATTGGTCCATTTTTCATCACATGTATAACACAATCCCAATTCCCTCCTTTGTCTTAATTGATCAGAAGACAATTTCTTAATTGGTAAGGATTCAGTAGCAGTAGTAGACAGAGCACTATTCTGTGATGCAATAGGTGATGAAGAAGAAACTACCTTATCAGCGAAATTGGTCTTTGGAAAGAACTTCCTTTGTGGAGTCGTAAGAGAAGACCTCAATTCACAATGATGGTTATCATAAGCAATAGCTAACTGCATAGCTTGATGCAGTGTAGTTGGCCAACGTAATTGGACAGCACCTTGAAGATCAGATTGCAAACCAGCAACAAAAAATGTCATCAACAAATCATCACCCACATTGGTTACCTGGTTCATCAACTTCTGAAATTCAGCCATGTACTCAGCCAAAGAACCTTTCGGCATCAATTTAGCCAACGTTCCTCGAATATCCTTATAACTAGAAGGGCCAAAGCGTTCACGTACCGCTTTCACAAATGTTTCCCAAGATATAATGGTTCCACTTGTTGAAATCCACTGAAACCAATCAGCAGCAACACCATCCATGCGCAAACCAGCGAGATCCACCTTGAATGTCTCTGGAACCTGTTGGATCTTAAAAAACAATTCTGCTTTGAAAATCCAAGTATTTGGTTCAGACCCATCAAATTTGGGTATTTCGGGTTTCACAAACTTCAACACAGCCCTAAGATCCTCATGATGTCCCCCGGAATGTTCACCGCCACTAGAATGATGAGAACTATGCAGCGGAGTAGCACCTGCCGATTTTGACCCATGCGTCAACAATTCGCGAAAGTTCGATTGAACTTCTTGAAACCTGGATTCCATGGTGAGCAATAACTGCTCAAAACGCTGATTCGTTTGGTCACGATACTGGGAAAATTCATCAGCAAGCTCCTGCATCTTCATTTCAGGAAGAATGAATGAGTTCAAAACTCAGTGAAAGCACCAAATGATACAAAAGAGAAACTGTATTGAGTAACAAGAACAAGAACAATCTGTTTATTCCGCAATTCCAAGATAAACCGTTTCCATACAACTAACTTCCCTTTATACATGTTTCCCAAGCCACGTAGGCATTACCAACTAATCTTCCCCAACTGTTAACAACCGTAACTTTACAATGTTATTGGGCTTTTCCTTTAACTATTCTATAACAGCCAGTGGGCTTATAAGACAAAGTCTTTGACCCATGTTGGACCACCCTTGAGTCTGGCTCCCCTTCTTGCTACCGTATCACTAACTATCCAAGCCAAGAGTCCAACCAATGCTCACAGCCCAAACACAGCAGAATCACAATCTGATATGGACCAATAGTATATCAATAAACATGCACTACAAGCATACATCACAAAGACAACGCCTTCTCTTACGTTTTACGTCTTTAGGCTCCTCACAAAGCCACAAGCCTTTAATCCGGTGATCCTGACTTACATTAATTATAACAGAAGTTCAACTTCCTCAAACTAGGGTCCACAAACCCCCAAACATCAGTTATGGATGAAAAGTAAGCTACTGTTCCTCGCAAACCCAGAATATCCGGATATTTGTCAGGGGCATATCCGGATATCAATATCCGGATATCTCTCTGCCAATATCCGGATCCCCATATCCGGATATCAATATCAATATCCGGATATGCATATCCGGATATTTTGCGACAGAATGCAGTTCTGCATTTCGCGAGATATCCCTCCCAAAGGTGGCTCATTTCAAGCATACAGAAGCTTAGACATACGATTTAATGTGTGTTTAACATTACCCAACGTTAAGTTATCAACTTTAACTCATTACATGCATCAAGGTTCCTTTTTTAAGCATTAAACTCATGATATCTTTACCAAGCTTCTCAAAACAGAGAATGGCAGTGAAAAGAAGATTCCAATACCACTCCACAGAGAAGCAACCAAAGGGCCACGAAAATGCACTACAAGGAGGCACCTTTCTCTTCAAAGAAAGCTTCTTGGAGCCTCCACACTATAGACAAAGGCTTAAACCTCACAACTCAGAAAACTCAGCACCTTTACCTCCCAAACTGACGCTCTAACTCAGAAACAATCCTCTCAACACCCTCCCAATGCTACACACAATGTTTACAAGGAAAAGGGGAAAATCAAGAGAAAGGTGGTTGCTTGGTCCCAAAATGATGAAGAATGGAAATGAAACAGTGCCAAGCACTCAGCCACCGAAGGAGTCACGTAGGAAAACTGATTTGCCTAGGGTTTTGGGCCAAGCAAGGATATTTATAGCGGTTTACAACTTAAACACACAGTATTAGCAATAATAGCTACGCTTAGCATTTTAATCCCAAACTCAGGATTCTTAACCTACTCAATTTTACAAGATTTATCATATTTATATTTTTTTTTCGCAGCACCTTTTCGGTATGCGCTTTTCCATAGCCAATATCAGTTTCTGGCACCAGTTCTCATTATTTTAACTTGAAACTCGTTTTACAAGTCCTATATATTATTCTAGGAATTATCATGAACTTATTATAATTTTCCGGGATACTTGATCGGTACGCATTTATACCGACTAGCAGAACCGGTATCTGCACTTTTCGTTAGAAAAGTGACTCTCAGCATTATTACTCACTTACCATAATTATTAGACTCTCATAATAATTATTAGGGTCAATTATGGAATTATCTCATTAAACTCATAATTAACTAATTAATTTCCTTATCATCATATAATTTCCTTATCACTGATGATACTCTCGGGCACCCCGTGAAGCCTCACGATCTCGCGAACATATAGTTTGGCCAACTGCTCAGTAGTGAAACTCACCTTCACTGGAAGAAAATGGACAGACTTCGTCAGTCTATCCACAATGACCCAAATAGAGTCGCAACCAACCTGAGTCTTCGGCAAACCCACAACGAAGTCCATGGAAATGCTCTCCCATTTCCATTCCGGAATCTCAAGAGTTTGAAGTTTACCAGACGGCTTCTGGTGTTCTATCTTCACCTTCTGGCAAATCAAGCACTTGGACACATACACAGCTATGTCCTTCTTCATTCCTGGCCACCAGAAATTACGCTTCAGGTCTTGATACATCTTTGTCGCACCAGGGTGAACAGTAAACTGGCCCATATGGGCCTCTGCCATAACCTCTTCGGTCAAGGGACTAGCTGTGGAATCACACGGAGACATCACCACTCTCTTGGAACAACAATCAATCAAGGCACAATTCCTGGACAACCAATCCATGCCCAGAATAATCTCCAAGTTGGCCATCGGCAATCCTATCAGATCTAGGGAGAACTCACGGCCGTCCCACTGAAACGCTACGTCGCGATGAACAGTGGTAGCATCACACTTTTCTCTGGTGGCGGTAGTCACCCGCAACGGTGAAGAAAGCACAGCACTGGGCAACTCAAGCCCCAAAGCAATCGGGGGTCGCAACAAAAGAATGCGTAGCCCCAGAATCAAACAAAACATCAACAGATGAATCACCAATAGACAAAGTACCTCTGACAACGTTCGTAGCGCAGTCCGACTGCTGCCTATCCAAGGTGTACACACGCCCAATAGAAGGTGGCACCGCAGGTGCCGAAGTAGATGCCATCAGAACCATCTGCAATGGAACTGCCTGAACAGCTGCAGCTCTCGCCGTCGATGATGGACAGTCTCTAGAAAAGTGGCCCTCCCTGCCACACTGAAAACAAACCAACTTCCCCGAAGCACAACGTCCCACATGCTTCTTTCCATATCTCGAACGTCTCGGAGTGGAAGGAGGCCTAGCAAAGCTCCCCTGCTGTGAAACAGCCCTCTTGAACTGACCAGGCGCCTGCCTAGTCGCCAACTGCTTTCCCTTGCCTTTCGGACCAAACTTCCTGTCTCTCCAGGAAGTGGAAGTGGAACTACTAGTCCCCTTCGCCTCAGCAACCTTGGCCCTCTTGGCCTTGCTCGATATACAGACATCCTCAATGTCCCGACACTGCTGCACATGTGTCCCGAAGTCTCTCGAAGCTGCATTAGCAATGCGATTAGCAATATCCTCATTAAGTCTTCTGCGGAACTTAGCAGCCAAGAACGTTGGAGTAGGCGAAACCATCCGAAAGTGTGCAAATTTCACTAGCTCATTAAACTTGGCCAGATACTCGTCAACAGACAACGAGCCCTGCACCAATCTATCAAACTCCCCCTGCTTCCTCTCCTGCGCATCGGAGGAAAAGTATATGCCCAGAAAGCAGTCCTCAAAGAATGGCCACGTCATAACATGACCCTGCATCTCGAAAGCGTGAGAGGTGTTCGTCCACCACTCATAGGCATCGCCCTCCACCATGTAAGAAGCAAACACCAGCTTCTGCGGATCAGTACGTTGCATGACCTGAAAGATCTTGTCTAGCGCCTGTAGCCATCTTGCTGCAGCAATAGGGTCATAAGACCCATCAAAAGCAGGTGGCTTATGCTTTCTGAAAGCATTCAGCCGGCGATCAATCACATCACGATCCTCAGCAGGCTCCACAAAGGTCTCCATCGTCCCAGCGACATGAGTAGCACTACCAATGTGACTCAGGCTCTCATCCCGAACACTAGGTGGAGGCGGCGGCGGCGGTGGAGGTGGTGGCGGAGGGAACTGACCAACAGCAGGACCAGCCCACATCTTCTCCAACATGACTCTCATCATCGTCATGTTCGCCATCCGATTCGCCTCGAGGACATCCTCAGTGGTCCTCCGGTTCGCCTCGCGAACCTCTTCTGCGGCTCTAGGGTTCGCCTCACGAACAGCGTCGATCATTGCAGCGTTGGCCAATGATGGGACATAAATTTGTTCCCATTTAAGCCCATACTTTCCCTCATCTGATGAGCAACTTCAGCATGAAAATCACTTGTTTTACACATTTGTTGCAAAAACGCAGTGGGGGAACGGATGGTAACGTATTCCTTTAAAATATATTAAAAGGGAAACGGACTGAGACGCATTTAATGCACCTGCTCCATTCATTTAATGCTTCTGTACACTTTGCAGGTAACGTAGAGTTAAAGACTTCTAAAAAGCAAGGCGGTGCACCAACTAGGCAGCTGGAAACGTGAAGAGCAGAGAATCAAAAGTTCTCATTGGCTGAAAACAGAAGCAAAACATGGGAATGTCTGCAAACAACGGCTAATCATCACCAAAACCTGTTCCATTCAGCAATTCACGCAAGCTTCACACTCTGCTGCCACAGTCCCGTCCCCTCATTCAAGCAACAAGCTCCAAAGGAATTACAGTCTTGCCACTCCTCTTCCAGCTATAAATAGGACCACCCTCACACAAAAACATCATCGAATCCTGGAGGGTTTGCAGTCCAAAAGGAAGAGATCACTTAGTAGTAGTTAGTAACTTAGTTTAATTTTAAGTTGCAGCTGTAGTTAAGTGACAACCCTTTTTCTCTTCTCTGTAAACAACCATCAAGACTCCTCACGAGCAAATACCCATCTTTCTCCATTTTCTATTTCTTTTTTGTAAACTGTCTTTTAAATTAATATAAGTGTTTTTCTCTTCGTTCCAATCGTTATCTCTTGACTGAATCTCGGGTCTATGTGATCTCAGTTGAGAATAATTATGTTTAAACTATCAGCCATGAGCTGAACTATATGTGGAACGGGTAAACTGTAAAACTCGTAAAGAACTGTTTTCAAAACTCTTGACCGAACCTTTTTGTATTTCTTTGGCTAAGTAAGCTATATTCATTGTGCGTCAATGGAAATTAGGTACATACTGAGAAAGAAACTTCCATAAGGAAGGGATTTCAGACAGCTTAGCCATTGGGGGAAGGTAGATGTCATGGCAAAAACGCTACTGGTCACCTTAGGAATAAGGGGCCAACTCGTCCAGTTTAAGGTTCTGAACTAAGTACCTGTTGGAGTCAAGGGATCCGTAGGAATAGGGAAACTTGTGAGCCATCTAGACCATG